TGCTTGTGAATGCGATTAGATATATATATATATATATAAAAGTTATTTCCATAAACTTATTTAAGGGGGGGGGGAAGCGTGCCTGGTGATACGTACAACTTCGAAATCTTTCTAATAACAGCTAAAGTATAAAGATAATTTTCTAAATACGCTATAAGACAATGTATTTCCGTCTATATGCAATGTATTTTTACTTAATGAAAACTCCTCGTAAAATATAAATGTGCGAAAACTTCATAAAAAATGCCTATAGGCCTTTAGCTACTGGAAAGTTTCTAGCTACTAAAAAGTTTTAGTACTTTAAGTCCAATGCCAATGATTGCTGAAGTATAGAAAATACGTATACATAATTGTTAGCACGAAATAAAGTAATATTTTATTATATGGACAGTAGACTCCACATATAAGTCACAATTTAACCCTAATTAATTACTTTACCCAATTACTCATTTCAAATACATTTGAAGATCAATATTATTATATTAAAATTAATAAACAAAGTATTAAACATATATCCATTATGTAATATTTTCAGCAATAAAGTACGTTACATAGTATAAACATGATAGAACTAAAACTAACCAAGATGTTCATTATTCTGTATTCATGAACAACTAATCCTGATTTCCATAAAATTTAATAATATCCGTTTTGTAAAATTACATGGTAAGGTCATAAAAAATCTCTAGAATTGCATATTAAACCAAGTAATAAATACCTCATAATTGCATCTAAAAACTATTACCATTACTAAATTAGTACCTTTACGCCATTCACAAGCAATCTGAATGCGATTAGATTCCTTTGTTACAACACTTGATTAAGTTATACATCTAACAGTATGTTCTATCATCTACTATTCTCACTTCTCCCCAAGTACAATGTAGCTAATACGAAATTTACACTACACATCACACAATTATACTTCTTTCCATTTTCAATTACCCTATGTGCATTCATGTGTAACCATAAAAATGGCGATGGTATCTGTTTGATGGGGATTTAGGCTATCGCAGAAGCTAATGACTACAATTAACTCTTGAATGATAGAATAATTTATTGCTTATGGACTTATTAAAATGGCATATAATGTCTTAATATCTGTACTTAAATCCGCCAAAAAATAATTGCACCTGGCTTTCGCGCATTTTGGGTAGTGGCATGGCTGTCAGGAATTCATCAAACAGCATAGTACTTTTTGGCGACAAATGTTAGCTTATCAAGATTTGGACAATTGCTTCCCCAATATTTTAATGTCGTTCAACTATTGAACAATTTGAATCTTTATTGCATCCTCGGGGGGTGGATTCAGCGATTTTTTTTTTTTTTTTTTGCTTAATGGAAATAAATTCTTGGCTAAATTCGAAGAAGACAAGGAGTGTGGAGAGAACCCAGTCTGAATTTTAATCAGAAGCGGCTTCTTTCTTGGCGAGAGTTACCCGTTTAATAGTACCAAATTACATTCTACCATTAGAAGGCCTTTGAAAGAGGCGTTAGGTAATGATGGGGCCTTTTTAACAGCTATATAATTTTAATTATTACTAGAAAGGATTCACGTTTTGTGTCATTTGAATCGATGCGTTTTGTGTTTCAAAAAAAGTTTTTGACACGCAGTTTTGGGAGGGGAAAAAAATGGAAAATTGTGTAGCCAAGTCTGTGATTACACTCTTTTTAGACTAAGTTAAAAGCTATCATTTGAACCAAAATCATTTCAATAACATGCTCTATCGAATGCAATAACTCATGAATTAACTCGCAAGTGAATAAGTATCACTGAATCCAATTCAGCCAGTTAATAAATTATAAGAAGCGCTAAAATGCAACCAAATAGGTATAATTAACTCAATCTTCGAGTTTTCCTGTAGATATTTAATGCGATTTTATCGTTGTATCCAAACCATATCTGGAAGACGCGGTGACTCAGAGCATAGAGCTTTCACCTTCCAATGAGGTGAATAGGGTTCGAATTCCAACGATGCCTTATCGATACGAATTGTTCATCCGGCTTGCACCCATCACAGTACTGAAGGAAAATATCCTCAGTGGTAGACGGATCATGGGTTAGAGTCCCTTTGCCGTCAGGCCAACCGTGGGACGTTGTCGTGGTCTTCCTCTCTATGTAACGCAAATGCGGGTTAGTTCCACCAATGCGGATTGGCTGTTCAACGACGGTTATTAAAAAAAACATGCCTGGATAATGCCATAATGAAGAAAGAGTTCGCAAATTTATGGACAGCACAACTAGATCAATTTCAGTCTTACTACTTTCATTACGCTTTCACGCCTCAAGTGTAGAATCTAGTAATTGAAATCTCGTACACTTTCCGAGTAGCTAGAATTCTCAAATCTCCACTGAAGCGTTGTGTCTGATAAAAATTCGAATTCCAAATCGTTTCCTGGCCTTTGCAATCAGAATTTATCACCATTTTTATCGCCAAGTCGTAGGCATACCTGCCAACTTTTGATCTTTAAAAGAATAGTTGTGCCAAGTGATAATGAAATGAGAATTTATAAATCAATAGCAGGTAGGCAAAAGTATTTTTATATTTCGTGGTAGTTTAAATATGCTATCGTAATCATATATATATAGAAAAAAGTTAAAAATATATGGAAAAAGAGGAACTTTTTTTTTAAGGAGAAGAAGAAATATTTAAACAAATGTTCAAAAAAAGAAACGGAAAGCAAAATAAGGAAAAGATATAATCTCATCATCAGCTCATACGATTATAACCGACAAAAAGTGCTTTCTAATATTATATTAATATAATCAAAGCAAAATATATAAATACAATAGTGTAAGGAGCACCAAAAACTGAAAATAATTGAATTTTTTAAGCAAAAAATGCAAACTTGCCTTATCACAAAATAAGAAATTAGAAGTGTGCATGGAGGATGAGGAAATCAATTTATGGGGCGCTCTGACTGAAGTACAGAAGCCCGTTTCATTTGTTAGTTACCTTGGATTTACCTGATTTTATTTCATGAGCTCATGCGCTTACTTTTCTTCTTTAAACTCTCTCTTTTTTCTATCCTTTTTGTCTTTATTGTCTTATTATATATATTTGTTGTATATAATTTTTTTCGTATGTCTTGATGGTTAAAATCTGCCTACATGAATCTTATAACTCTCCAAGAATGAAATAGAAGAGCATAAGTTAATCATTTTAAATATAAAAATCTAAATGTTCCGGAAAATGGTCAGAATAAGAAGTTTTGTGAATCAAAATTCCAAGTAGCTGGAGCGTCGAAATCTCTATTGGAGCTTTACGCGTGATGATAATGCAAGTATCAATAATTTCTTGTCTTTTGCAAGCAGAATTTATTGGCATTTTTTCTACTATCCATCAGAATTCAAAACCACTATTCGACTCGCTGGAATTGTCAAAGCCCATCAGAAGCACTGTGTCTAATACCAATACAGGTTCAAATCAATTTCTAAGTTGAATCTTCTCCAAACAGTGTTTATCGTCAATCAAAAATGCGACATTTTTCTGACAAGTTAAGAGTGTTGCAAACTGGACTGGAACTTTGTGCTAGATGACAATACTAATTTGAATCATTTCCTGACCGCTACAAGCAGGATTTAGTTCCTATTTCATTTTCAAACAAAATTTATCAGCTTTCCGAAAAGCAAGAGTTCTCATATTTCAACTCAACTTCCTCACATCTCCCACTTTTCACCAAAGCGATTTTTAACCCAAAAGATAATTAACAATGTGCACCTGTGGGGAACAGGTGTTCTCCGAGAGTTAGTTTTTGAGGGATAGAGGAATTTCATATAGAGGAAAGAATCCTT